GCCATATAAGTTGCATCAATCCAAATATGTCTAATAAAGTGGAAAAATCCATAAATACGTTGCTTCGCTGTATACGGCGCATCTATTTTGTGTCACCGCTGATGCGTCACGTTTGTTACACGTCACCACTGACAACCTGGAAATGTGGGACGGTGTTGTGCCAAAAATCGATTGGCTGCCAAATGACAGCCGCTGGGGTGTGCATGGGAGAACTTTAACAAGCTTAACACTTAAAAACAATTATTTGTTTAATCAAAATTATAGTAAAGGTGTGTCTCAGTTTAACTTTTCTTTAAAAAATGCACTTTAATGGTCAAATCAGCTGCATTTCAAAAATAGTTTTGCTGCTGGCTGAGGTGCTGCGACGTGGGGATGAGCAACGGGACCAGCCGGTGCATTTCTTTAAAATTTAACAAGATAACCACCTAAAAACAATTATTTGTTTGCTCGAAATTATAGCAAAGGTGTGTCTCAGTTGAACTTTTACTTAATAAATGCACTTTAATGGTCAAATTAGCTGCATTTCATTGGGGTGGTGCAGCGAAATAAAGCTGATTTGACGTTGCTCCAAGCAACGAGCAGATTGAAGGTGGCAGGTTATGGCAAGCCAATTGCATCATTAATAGCTGGTGAATTTTCTCAGTCATCCAGGACATGGTAAATTCAAAAAAGTTCAAGACAAAAATATTAAAGTGTAATAAATAAATTCCAGTTGTTTTTGTCTGGAACTTTTTTTGAATTTGTCATTATAGTCACTTTGACCTATCACATGATACAATGGCATGCCTTTCTACTCTGCTGCCATCTAGTGGCTGAAAATGGTACTGTTCAAAATTTTTCAGTCAGAATTAATAGAAACGGTCATATCTCAGCCAAAAATTGGTTTATAAATATGGGAAAAAATCCATAAATACATCGCTTCAACCTATAAGTTGTAGGGCATGCAAATTATGCAAAAAACGTGACTTATACAGCGAAAAATATGGTATACATATTTATTTTCTTTTTTAAACCAAAACTCAAGTTTTAACAGTATTATTAGTTAAATTTGATGAATTGAATTATACCCTATCTTTAGAGTTCCTGTGGGGACATTGGAAGTTGGAAAAACAACAACAGTCAAACAATAATGGGTTTAAGTTCAGAGGAATGCAAGATGAGCTCAAACATCAAATGCTTCCATCACATCCACAGTGTCAAAAAAAGAAAAGAAAAGAAGACAAGTAAAGTTTGTTTTTCCCTTTGTTCCTGTCCAAAAGTTTGAACCTCTTTCCAGTCACTGTGGCAGAGGACAGAAAGCCTTCAGGAAGAGAAGTCTGGACATGAAAAATGGTGAAATGAGTAAAAAAAGAAAAGGCTGTACATCCACATCAAGTTTTCCTCAAAGTGTGCAGGTGCAACGATGTCCCCCCTGACCAAGGAGGGTGTTCTCTTCTCAGGCTGCCTGGATTTGTGTGAAAGGAGGGAACTTCTGCTATATGTGTCCTGGTTTAGAGAGGTAGGCAATGAGAGCAACCACCACACCTACATACACACCGGTGCCTATAGTGATGGAGAGAGCAGCAAGGAACAAAGCCCTCCGGGAGGCAATGTTGGCCAGTGGGAAGTCACCTTTATTCACTGCCTTGGTTGTCTGTAAAAAAAATGCATAAAGAAAACAGAGTCAGAAATCAGTGTCTGCAGCGACATCAAGAAAAAAGGAAACAGTTTAAAAATAATGTTTGGAAAATTAAAAGAAAAACCAATAAAACTGAAGAATGGACCTATTAAATGAACCGAGGAGAGCTTATCTGGCATAGCTGGGTCTAAGGAAAAAAAGTCTTTAGTGCCAATGTCAAATGTGAGAAAAGCAAATGAATCATTATCAGCCATTATTAAAACAAAAGGATATTGATGTGTGCAATATAACGATTCAACAAATACAAATAAATTGTTTCTGCGTCCACAGTGCTTTTGTTTCTTGGAGCGTTTTATACTTTTGTTGGTAGCAGGCAACATTGCCATGACCCAGTTAAAGCAGCAGCGTGTTTTATTATCCCAGTTAGGCTCGTACAGCTCCTCTCCCAGGGGCTGTGTTAACTGTAGCGGTGAAGTCGTTCCTGTAAAACAGAAACCGGTGAAAACTTGTAAATGTCCCGCGGTGTTGTGGTAAATGATGGGAGGTTGTTCAATCACCCCCCTGACACAGTTTGTTTGTGTAATGGTGAGGAGTTGTTTCCATCAGTTATTCAAAAATTAAACATTGACATTTGGGGCTACAGATTACATACATAGGCTGCACTCATACTGGGACAAAATTTCAAGACATTTAATTGCATTAATATTTATGTGTTATTTTATTTCATGTGCATTGTTCTTGCATACGTTCAACTCTGTTAAGGGCTGCATTTGATCATTTTAGTACTGGATATATATTTCCGGGATTGTAATGGTTTAGACTTGACCTTTTTGCATTATTTTGCATTTAATGCCTTTGTATGATGTTGCTACCACAGGTTTTTCTCATCATTTGCATATCCCCAGACACATTATCTTGCATGCTCACCATGCTCTATACGTCAGCATACATTCACAACAAGCTACCTCCCCAAGCACAACTCTCTTGGAACATGACACGATAAAAGATCATCTCTGATAGCATATCTGAGCTGATTTATTTACTTTATTTGATATGCGCTTTATTTCCTTTTGAACAATCCATTCATAGACTGTGCCTTTACAGGAGCTGCCATGTTTTATTTTGGGGACCAGAGTCCATGTACTGTATGCAGAGGATAGGTATGGTGACTGGGTTTTATTGTGAAGTGACTTGTAACACTGTACTTACAAAGTATGTACTCAGTAATATGGGGTACGCACTATGCAAGTACCAGATGTATACTCTAGAATTGTGCCGCTCAAGGTGGCTGCATGTTGGAATAGCTCTGTTACATTAATTCTGAGAAATTGCTTTTGAAAACTTATTTTCTTCTTCACAAATAAAGTTAAATCATGTCATCTGGACAGACTGTTTTTGGAAGAAATGCTTCATCTTTCATCTGAAAGACTTCATCAATGAGGCCTGCTAACAGGATCTGTCGTGTTAAATATCACCTTATTGACGTGTTTCATGCCAGTCTGCTGTGGAATTCCCAGAAACGTGCTTTACACTCGGGGTGTAAATCACCAGCTTTACCACGATGGGATATTATATTGATTTGTTTTTATGATTATACAATTTTTCTCAAAATCACAAAGTCTGACACGATACGATTTCGATACGATTCACAAGTCTGCGATCGATATATTGCGATATCAAATGCCCATCTCATTTATATATAAATACATTTACAAAAACAATTCAAATATGATTTAACCATTTTATTTCTGTTATTACAGGCAACAGGCATTTCAATTAAAAAACATTTTTTTCTTTATTAAAGAAAAATTAAAACTAAATGACCTGTTCAGTATAGTCTCACATTTCTCAGAAACAAAAATAGACATTGAGCTTACATAACATGGCTATCAATGCCGTGTTTCTTCTTCAGGTGAACGGCAAAATTTGTTGTTTTCGAGTATTTGAACTCACACTGGCACCTGTTGCATACGACATGAGTTTTATCTGTTGAGCCGTCCTTTGGTCAGAATCCAAAATATTTCCACAGCGTTGATTTAAATCCAGCAGGAGAGCGAATTACATTATCTGTGTTTTCTGCCTCGTCTGCCATGTTGCTGAGGTGGCCGCAGCAGCGCAGCCGTGCACAGAAATGGTGACACAGACGTGCCTTGGGAATTTTAAAAGAAAAGCGTATTTTAAAGATGACGATTTAAATCAATGTTTTAGTTTTGCCACGATATGACTGAATCATTAATCATTTAATCGATAAATTGATTTAAATCAATATATTGTTACACCCCTACTTTGCACATACAAAAATGGGAGACCATCAGTCTAAACAATGGATCATCAGTGCACAACAATCAGATGTTATGGACAAAATGGCTCCTTGCTACTCACCAAACCAGCCTGAGGACATCGGTTCAAAAATAGTAAGGTAGCTAAAACATCCAGGTATATAAATCACAAAAAAAGTTGAATCATGTCATCTGGACAGATCCCTTTAGGAAGAAACGTTTCATCTTTCATCTGAAAGATTTAATCGGTCAGTCATACATCAGTTTCTTCCAAAAAGAATCTGTCCACATGACACGATTTAACTTTTTTGTGATTCGTATACCTGAATGATTGAGATAACTTACTATATTATTTTCTTATTTTTTCTGGATGTAAACCGCTTTTTCTTTTTGGATGATTATTTACTCTGGTGTCGGATGCTGTGCAGCTGGAGGGATTTTCACTGAAACTTGGTTACTTTTGGACGTTTGGTATGATGCGTAACCATGGCAACACTTATTTTTTTGTTTGTTTGTTGTTGTTTTTTTAACTGAGAGTAGCTGATTAAGATCTCAGAAGTTATAATGCCTTGGCTGCAGCCTCAAGTCCAAGGTGAGTTGGAAAAGAGGTGCCACGGATGCATTCCCGTGGCGGCGGTGTTCGAGTGCCTGACTGCCGAGATCCTGGAGAAGGCGGGAAACGCAGCTCGTGACAGCAGGAGGGCAGAGATCATCCCCTGCTACCTGCAGCTGGCTGTTCGCAATGACGAAGAGGTCAACAAGCTGCTGGGAGGAGCGACTATCGCTCAGGGGAGGAGTTCTGCCCATTCATGCGGTCCTGCTGCCCAGGAAGACCAAGAAACCCATCGGATTCAAGTGGACGGATCAACATCTGCAACTGCTGCAAGAGCTCCTTCCTGCCCACAGCATCAGCATCTATAGCAACTCTTTAATGAAACCAGGATGATGAGTTACAACAACATTTAATTTCCCTTTGGGGTTAATAAAGTATTTTTTGACTTGAGTTGAACTGAACTGAATATAATACCAGGCTGTATTGAATGTATTGCTACCAGTAATGTAAAAGTAAATGCTCTGACTATTTTTTTCTAGTTGGTGTCAGCAGTTTTCAAACTTGCTCAAAAACAAAACCAAAAAACTGAAACATAAATAAATTTTTTAAATTTTCAATAAAATTAATATAAATGTGATAAATCCATACAAATGTAAAAACACATGAACAAAGGCCTTGTTCGTCCTGTCCACTGCATGTGATTTTGCAGACCATTTCTTTCGAGCCGAATAAAAAGAACAACAGATTCCTCTCTTTCTTTGCTTTTCATTCTTACTTTTGAATGGAATTCAAACATGCCATAAAGATATGGCAAAACGATTCAAAGGTGCTGTTTGTTTAGCCATCCTCTGTCTTCCTCTAGATAAATTCAGTTGTCTATTATAACAGCGTTGTCACATGTATATTTTTAGTAACACTTCAGAGCTGATAATTAATTTATTGTGTTTATGCACGAGTCAGACTAATGTGTCAAATGACTGCAAACGTCAGATGTCAAGGTGTAAAATGACCTCCATTAATCTTGCATTTATTTTAACAGCACTGTCTGATGTGTGAGAGTATGATGAGATTGGCCTCAGGGTCAGTCCTTCAGTGTCATATTTAAGGCTGATCCTTTCAAAACATATGAGTTTTCTTATTTAAAACGGAGGAGTTGTGCCTGTTGGCTACGTGCAGCTTCTGCAGTGACGATATCTGACTATGACAGTGAGGCTAAGACACCAAGGAAAATCTTCATATGATCTTTGCACTTGATATTAAACTTTGCTCTCAAGCTCCGAGACACTGAAATAAAATCTCTAATGCATTTTTTTTTTCCTGCAGAATTTCCAGCCTTCATCATAATTGAAATCCAGAAGGATTTATGACCCGTGTCAGTGCTTCTTACCCTTGAGGGGAGCCAGTCAGTAGAGGATGATAAAGATGGCTACATAAAGGTTCTTATAGAAGGGAAGCTTTTAAAGCAGTTGTGATGAAAAATGACTAATTTTATAGGGTTAAAAACCCACACCCTGATTTCATTCAAGTTTTTATTTTATTAAATCGTTTTGGAAATGATGTCAAATTGTCCATAGCCCAGCACTGTTTCAGTTTTAGCCATTTAAACTTTAATCTAATATTCTATCTTGTAACGATAAAAGGTGGGTGATTTTTGTTACTGCATGTGTGTTTGTCTCTTTGACAGCAAAATACCTCATAAAGCAAATAAAAGGCTTTAATGAAACTCTTAAAAAGTGAACATTCAATGTACGGTAGTCCCTCGTTTATCACAGGGGTGTCTGTTCTCAGCGCTCCCGCAATAAGTGAAAAACTGCAAAGTAGGAATAGTAGTGCAAGTAGTAAGTAGTACTTTAATTTAGTATACATACATACATACATGCATACATGATACATACATACATATATGTAATTTAAATTTTAAACCCTCTCTTGCAATATTCTAAGCAATGTTTCTAAACTCTTAACACTCTAAAAGAGCACAGCTTGTCATGATCTCCACTCTCTCTGCCACCTGCCAGCAAGTAGGTATCGTTGCAGGCAAATTCGGAAGGCGTATCTGGGTGGCCACATCTGATTGGACGATAGAAAAATGGGCGTATTCGGCCGGCCAAATGTGATTGGACTATAGGAAAATGGGCATGTCTGGCTGGCCACATCTGACTGGACGATAGAAAAATGGGCGT